ATAGTAATAATAATCATCATCATCATCATCTTCATCGTCATCATCATAATAATAATCATAATAATACTAATCATGATAATAATAATAATAATAATAATAATAAAGAAATACAATAAATGTTCCCTCGAGTACGGCCCACGCCTTACGAAGGGCTTTATCTATGTAAAATATGCATATGTGTGTTTTAATTGGTCAGTGGAAAGTGTCATGATGTCATTTCTAACGTTAGGTCTCTGGGCGGGACCCGGAAAGAAATGTGTACAGACCAGAAATCAAAAGAAAGAATAATAATAATAATATACTTAAAAATGACAGCAAAGATGAATGCAACCGACCAGATACAGAAGCGATGGCAAGATAAACCGCTTCATGGCCAATACTCTGCCAGTACCAAACAAGCTGACGTGGACAAAACCCGTACCCATCAGTGGCTACATAGTGCAGGGTTGAAAGCGGAAACTGAAGGATTTATCCCTGCTGCGCAGGACCAATGCTTGCTAACTAGGAATTATCAAGCACATAAACTAAAATATTGTGTTAGCCCAAAATGCAGATTCTGTAATAAATATCCAGAAACGATTGATCATCTTGTATCAGGTTGCACGATATTGGCACCCACTGAATATAATACCCGACATGACAGAGTGGGCCAATATCTGCACTGGAAAATCTGCAACTTCTATGGGAAGAAAACTGAAAGAAAATGGTATGAACACCACCCAGACCCGGTTACGGAGATAGGACCTGTTACAATTCTATGGGACTACACAATACACACTGACAGAACAATCAAATCCAACCGCCCAGATATTGTTATTAAAGACCACAAATAAAAACGGTGCCTCCTTATTGATATGGCAGTCCCTGCCGACTGCAATGTATCTTTGAAGATATTCAAAAAGTTGTCAAAATACAAGGACCTTGAAATAGAAATCGCGAAAATGTGGCATATGGGAACATCAACAATCCCTGTTGTAGTTGGAGCCCTAGGATTGGTTGGAAAAGATTCCAGTAGACTAATTAAAGGGATTCCTGGAAGTCCATGCCTCAAGGAGATACAGAAAATTGTTCTGACAAGTACAGCCCACACCTTACGAAGGGCTTTATCTATGTAATCGTTTTTTTTTTGTTTTGTTTTTTTTTTCAGTGGAAAGTGTCATGACGCCATTTCTAACCTTAGGTCCCTGGGCGGGACCCGGAAAGAAATGTGTAAACGCCTGAAATCAAAGAAAATAAAAATAATAATAATAATAATCATAATTATAATAATAGTAATAATAATCATCATCATCATCTTCATCGTCATCATCATAATAATAATAATAATAATAATAATAATAATAATAATAATAAAGAAATACAAGAAATTATTCAGAAATACAAAAAAAAAATGTTCCCTCGAGTACGGCCCACGCCTTACGAAGGGCTTTATCTATGTAAAATATGCATATGTGTGTTTTAATTGGTCAGTGGAAAGTGTCATGATGTCATTTCTAATGTTAGGTCTCTGGGCGGGACCCGGAAAGAAATGTGTACAGATCAGAAATCAAAAGAAATAATAATAATAATAATATACTTAAAAATGACAGCAAAGATGAATGCAACCGACCAGATACAGAAGCGATGGCAAGATAAACCGCTTCATCGCCAATACTCTGCCTGTACCAAACAAGCTGACGTAGACAAAACCCGTACCCATCAGTGGCTACATAGTGCAGGGTTGAAAGTGGAAACTGAAGGATTTATCCTTGCTGCGCAGGACCAATGCTTGCTAACTAGGAATTATCAAGCACATATACTAAAATATTGTGTTAGCCCAAAATGCAGATTCTGTAATAAATATCCAGAAACGATTGATCATCTTGTATCAGGTTGCACGATATTGGCACCCACTGAATATAAAACCATACATGACAGAGTGGGCCAATATCTGCACTGGAAAATCTGCAACTTCTACGGGAAGAAAACTGAAAGAAACTGGTATGAACACCACTCAGACCTGGTTACAGAGATAGGACGTGTTACAATTCTATGGTACTACACAATACACACTGACAGAACAATCAAAGCCAACCGCCCAGACATTGTCATTAAAGACCACAAACAAAAACGGTGCCTCCTTATTGATATGGCAGTCCCTGCCGACTGCAATGTATCTTTGAAGATATTCAAAAAGCTGTCAAAATACAAGGACCTTGAAGTAGAAAAATCGAAGATGTTGCATATGGGAACATCAACAATCCCTGTTGTAGTTGGAGCCCTAGGACTGGTTGGAAAAGATTGCAGTAGACTAATTGAAAGGATTCCTGGAAGTCCATGCATCAAGGAGATACAAAAAATTGTTCTGACAACAAGTACAGCCCACACTTTACGAAGGACTTTATCTATGTAATTTTTTTTTGTCAGTGGAAAGTGTCATGATAATAATAATAATAATAATAATAATAATAATGTCCTTATAAATGAAAAGAAAAACTCTAAACAACAACTGGTAACTCAAGGTGTTAATCGTGCCGCAGTATGAGTTTGCGAACGATCCCCTACAGGCTTCAGAACGTTGTCTGTAAAAAACCGTTACCCAATGTGTCAGGCGAATTTGGGTGGACTCTTTGACCCTTGCGGCAAAAAGAATAATATAAGAACCTAAAAGTCAAACTAAAATGTCCAGTATGGCTCTTCCAGTTGTTAAACGGGTAACCCGTCCCTCAGGAGGGAACCTAGCTGAGGTCGAAAAATCCGCCATAGGAACAAACTCCTACACAAATATTAAACCTTCATGTCCCCACAACCGGGATAACCCAAATGATGACCCTGCGAATTCTCCAACTAGATCCACAACCATTTATTTAAAGAAAATGCCGCGTGAGGAGTACAAACTCGTTATGACTGCATTCTATGTAGCGTTCCACAAACCTCAGAAAAGCTGCAGTCGCCAAACATATGAGATTGGACGAGAAAATGTTAGAAAAGCAATTAGAAAGTTGACTGACGAAAATAAAATAGTCAATGTAAGAAGATCCATCATGAAAAATAATCGATTGACAAATGCTAAAATTAAAGACATAAAAAGAACTGTAACCAGAATAGACGAATCAACAGGACATGAAAGGGAACCAGAAATGGACTTCAAAAGTACTAACATCACACAAAACAAAAATCATAATGAAGAAAGTGAGCTACGTAACAATCAGTGTTAACATAATGCTGAAAGTTTAGAAGAGTTGGAAAGAGGTGGTCTTAGTCGATCACAAACCTGCAATAAAACGAATCCAAAATAAAATGAACCGAATTATTTTACGAAAAAAAACAAACAAGAATAGTATCTAAGAAACCAAGGAAGAATATTAT